TAATCATAGAATAGATGATATATTTCTTTAAGTTCACATAAGTTTGAATCCTTCTAGATTGGACGGACTCCTCGCTCAAGAATCTGTCCGTGAGCATTAAAACATTTTTATATTGTTGATTTTCCTTTGTTATTTACCTTAATGTCTTCACCTCTCCTATTTATGCTTTTCGATAAGGGTCAGAGGGGACTTCGTAAAATTTTCCACGTCAGGGGGCGGGAGACTTCGTTTTCAAAAATCCTAGAAACCGACTCTTGCCGGGCCCTGAGTGGGTGGGGTGTCGTAGGCTACTTTTCTTTATCGATCGTTATCAATTTTATCGATTTTTACCAAATTTTTGTACAGTTTCAGGGGCTGGGAGTTAGCACAAGAGAGGAGGTGGGGATGTAAGGCTGCTGACTACGAATACAACGGTAGTTTTTGCAACTATCGATTACTCTTATCAATTTCATCAATTTTTTCGCAAAGTTTGACCTACAAGCTGGCATTTGACACAAGGGGGTTAGTGGACATGTTCATTTCGAAAACAAAATTGAAATAGGAAATTTGGATGTAGAAGTGAGCGCGAAAGGTTGTGCAGGGATTTTGCCACTGTTTTTGTAGTCACGAACTGTAGAGAAGCCATAAACGGAAAATGAGGAAGGTGAACGCGTTTGGGTTGTATCGATGATATATTGCATTTATACGAGCAGTCAAATCAACATTCGACATAAAAAATAATATGGGCGATTGAATTTGATGGCGAAGTTGAGATTGCAGAATCAATGGAACATGATTTGCGGTAACCAGACATCAAAAAAGTGATCCTAAGATGGGTGCGAACATAAGCAAGTCGTAAAGGACCGATCGAATTCTGTTGTAAAAAAAACGCAGGCTGCGTCGCGGGCGCGAGCGGTCGTTTGCCGTCAATCCCATTGAATCAAACAATTCTGATAGGTGGCGCTAGTATTAACTGACAGGTTTCGTTTCGTGCTTGAGATTCAGTCATTACTATAAATATTTTCAAGTTGATACAAAGACAAAGTGAAAAGCTGCAGGAAGTTTAGTTGCGCAGGTTGGCAGCATCAGATTACGCAGTGGTAATCCTGATCAAAACAGAAATTAATTTGTAAGGATTCGACTCGTAACGTTAGCGCTTTATGTATATGCCGCTGGGAAGCTTAAAGTCAATCATGCAACAAAAATACAGCGAACAATGCTGAACCGGAGGCTTGTGCCACAAAGATTTGAACAGTTTTGATCCAAATCTATTGTTACATATATGGCAAATTTCGCCGATCGTAGTTGAAAAAGCTATCCAAGTATAACAGAAATGATTTTAGTTATATGTACTCCTCCATTGTTTAATCAATAGAAATCACTCTTTCCTTAATATTACACGTAAAATCCTCAGCATTCACGGTCATTTTCAATAGCTAATGAGTTATACAATACCCGCTCAAAGAATGTGCAAAATTTCCGTGGATGTCACCAAATTCCGAGAGTCGTGAATTGCAACATTTCGTACGCAATATTTCGCGATTTGAGTAATCACACAAACATGCAGCGTCGTAATTTATCTTGGAATGAATTCTGAATCCGAAAAAGCATTGTGCTCAGCTTATCAAATCAAATCTTTTGATACCCCGTTGCCCTTATGCCCATTCCCAGTTTTCTTAAATTCTTCTGCGGACGTCTTTTTCGAAATGATGTAACGCGCACCAGACATAATGGTTTCAATAAAAATTTCTATGGCGATGTTTCCGTACGTCAGCCCCAATCTCAACCAGGCCAAAATCGGCACGAGGAATCCGCGTCGCTAAGCTTTTTGCATCACGCCACGTGCTTGCCTGCCCTTTCTCTTCGAACTCTTCGCTTTCTCCGGCAGTGCGCACAATCAGTGCAGAGTACTGGCGCTAGGTGCGCGCAAACTTAAACGAATTGACCTGATCCCGATTGGAGGATAGTAGACTATCGTGTGCTAGATAGCGGTCGAAGACTCTTTTTTAAAAGACATAGAGGAGCTGTAAATTTGGAAGTTATGGCGCTGCGTAGTTTGCGCAATTCGCATGATTGCGCGAAATTCCCGGTATATCGTGGAACTCCCGGAATGTTGCGGACTTCCGCAACATTCACGGGAAATTTGCACACTCTGAGGGGTATTGTATTTTATCTTTTCCTAAACATGAAAAGGGGCTGACATTTACGTACGCAGCAATGCAATAC